ATATAATATAATATTAATTCATTGTTATCCTCACACGTGGTTTAAGATTTAATTCGAGGATTGAAAAAAGCTGTACTACTCAGACAAAGTATGCATAACATAAAACAAAGACTGAGTTCTCTCGACTTTCTGTCAACCTTCTTCAGTTTTCTATGTATTATGCATTATCCTCTCTAGTCTTTGTAAACTCAAGGATATTATCATTTTTCTTTCCATAAATTCTTCAACCGAATGAGGCGTAAATCGTAAGATAAATGAATATAATTAATTGCAGGATCATATATACTTTTTATTGACTAATCAATGACGAAATTCCTAATGATTAAAGATTATGATAAACGTTAATTTTACTGAATAAATTGGTAAAGTGTCCAAAAGAAATCAAGCCGAGGAAACACGGTGGTTCGTTGGAAGGCAAACAGAGTATCAGTTTCTTGTTTACAAGGCAGACCAATAATTCTCTAAAAATAAGAGGCCGCTTCCACGACCAAGGCTGTGCCAGCTGATTGATACGCATTCTTGCCCTTACGAGCTTGCATTTATGAGCGAAACAAACCACCATCGGTGCAATTTTCAGATTTTTCTAAATATTCTTCCTTATCTTTCAGGAAGCAATCATGTGGCTTTCAGAGAGAAAGAAAAACGACCTAATAAAATTGATCACATGTTTTTAAATAGTCTAATACATGGCTAGTGATTCTAGAAAGAAGAAATATTGAACGCTGTAACAAGAGTGTGAACATAAGCTGCCACGTAAGCTGGAAAAAAGAGTCGATCGATCGAAGTTCGATGGCGTAAAAAGTGCACGTCCTTCGATGTAGAGTTCCTGCATCTTTTTCTGTCTCATTTAGACACCAGTTTATTCTACATTGTTCAAAGGAATTTCTGACGGTGCAATAGAAACATTGTTTTCATAATGATTTTTCTTATCAACAAAGAATCTAAAAGCCTTAACAAAACTTAATCACACAAATGACTTCGAGGAAAGGACGATTGTCAACCAGCCTGTTTCAGGCACGAAGCCAATTACCGTTCCAGAGGGATCGCAATTAATTTGTCACTCTCCCCCTACGCAGATCGAATTCGGCGAGAAAGGGTGAGAAAGATAGAGAGAAGAGAGAACTGCCGGTATCCGTATGTACTCGTAATAATGACGAAACGAGCGAGTCGCGCAGCCACATCGACCCACATTTATAAATAGAGGAGGCCTCGTCTCCGTCGGGGTGACGACGTGGTGTGTGTCGACCCAGGAATACCACGCTCGACCGAGTGACCGACCGGCACGCTGTGAATGAGCCTTCGTGCTCAGAAAATGGACGGAAAATCGCACGAAACGACTTTCACGAACATCCCTCGTGGAATTTTACCGAGCTGAGGATAAAACTTTACGACAAGAATAACGGCGATTAACGCGGGTCGTTCGATGCCGAGGAATGGAAATATGGAGCGGGACGACGATCTATTTTTCCTCTTTCTCATATCTCACTTATCAAATAAATTCTTCCAGCGTTTCTCAATGGTTCGTGAAAAATACTGTTTGTTTCTCTTGTAACCCATTCGGTCAATAAATAAGAGTAGCCTCCTCCGAGTCTAGACTACGCATCTACGACTCAATCAGTTTACCATGTAGTAAAATCAAGGTCCTAGTACGTGTCCTCCGGTTATCGAATAAATTTTCAGTCTCTTCCAACAGCGAATGAAAAATTCCGTTTGTTTTGACTTCGTCAGTCGCTCAACATATCCCGCAGCTCTCTTCGAGTTGAGCGCTCTGTTATATTAGTAACGCGATTCTCCACGATTATTCTTCTTCTAATGAGACCGTGTTGTTTTCAAGGAAAACACGCGACGATCGCGCGAACGGGATACGACAGGACGCAATGTAGTGCCACACAACAATGCTATTTGTGATCACTTGCTTCGCAAAAATAGCCCGACTGGCCTGGCTCCAGCCGCAGTATTTTTCACTTCCATGTAGAGGCGCGCGAGGGCAAAAATTTCACGAGCGTGACGAAACGCGTGAGAATGCGAACCGGAGCGGAGAAATCACCGCGCCGCCAGGATGATTCAAACGGTGCTAATATTACGATTGACCGCGATCGAAGGCTGAATAGCGAGGGGGGAATTGGCAGAAAATAGTTCTAAGAAAATATTTATAATTTGAATCAGCACATGTCTTAGGTTCATTTCGCCTGAACTTTAGCTTTAATGTCAGATATTTCCCTATGCCCAGATAAATAAGGAGGCAGGCATAAATTATAAATAGTAATAGTAAATGAATGAAGATGAGCTCATTTCTCGAGAAGGGTCATAAAGAATCTTGAGTGAATTGCGCGGTAAACATAGTTGCTCGTTGGTTCAGTGTTAATGCTTTCACCGTCGATGACGTTGAATCGCGCAAATATTTTCCCGCCGGTTAAAAGTGGCCGTCGATGACGCAGCGATTGTCCATCCGGTTCGCGTTTATTTATGCCACCTTATTACGCATCGAATGTCATTACGTAGATTGTTTTCAAAGACGCATTCCCTTGCATCATGGAAATCGAAATGACGAACGTTGCTAAATATTGAATATCATTTAGAATAAATAAAAGACGATTCTTTTCTCTAAGCGGGACTCAAGGCTGGGTATAAAAATTGATTCCGATTTGTATATGTATATTGAACTTAATTCCATGTGTACTGGCTACGATCGATGTCTCAACGAGCGACGCAAATAAAAGACAACATCTGTGCGTTTGCCGCACGTCTAACGGTCGCACGGTGGTCTAATAATAATGTAGCAAGGCCGTTCTTCCCAATGTACCGTGAATGGTCGCGCTCGTTACGACACACCGGGCTTGTTCCACCGTCGCTGCTTCGAAACTCGAGGAACGCTCACGCGCGACTGCCTAATATCGCGCGACGCGACGATAAATCAACCCCTCGACGACTGCCCGAGAGCGATCAACTTGGCACGCGTTACTCTTTTATTAGCCGAGCGAGGGACAAGGAAAATTCGAAAACGTCCCGAGGAACACGGCCGCGGCGGAAACACGCGGAAGATGCGACGTTTGGCCGGCGTCAAGTTGCTCCGGTGCTGTTCGCGCTTACGTGGCTTCGATATTTGTGTACTTTGGACCCCGTTGTCATATAGTCGCAGAGAGTTCTCGTGATGAATGACATCTGTTTCGAAGGATTTTTGCCCCAATTTCTTAATCTGAACTTTGAAACATCGGCTAATAGTTCGGGAAATAATAAGATGTTTACCATCCGTCAACTTGTTTGTGGAGATGATCCTCGATTACACGAACGCGAGACTTGACGATAGTTCGAATAAATAGTTTTTCATGCATCATTAAACGAGATTCCGAACTTGTATGCAATTTTGGAAAGGCCGAGTTAAAAGTGAGTTACGTTTACATGTTTTTTGACAGCAAGCTCAAGGAAACGACGATGACGAATTGATCTGGCGCTTGTTCAACAGAACCGACTCGAACAGCTGACTTTTATCCCTATTGTTTATCACGTTAATGCAACTTTGGCGTGCTAATATCGTGTCCGCGAGGGGATGAGACACTAGAAAGCGGGACTTTGCGTAAACACCGGTTTAACGATATATGTAAGTAAATGTCACTGTCGTTGGCAACCTGGCAAATTTCAAAACCACGGAATTAGCATAAGAAGTGGTCCAGAAATATCACCGATCTTGTCTCGCGAAGCGGTACAATTGTGTATTGAGCAACAATTTCCAGACGAAACTTTCTTCGCTGATTAATTACCGCAGTCTACGTTTGGAAAGCAATATTTGCATTTTTACAGGACGATGTCACATTCATTAATAATATCTACAGATACAATATATTTTACAAGCTGACAGATGCGAGATTTTAAACGTTAAGACGAGAAATTAATAAGTTGCGACCATATTAAATCGCCGAAATGAATGTATACGTCAATGAACTGATTAAATTAGCAAATCGATGGAAATCACACGTGAAATCGATGCTAATAAATAATATTATTATAATTACGTAGAAAGTAAAAGTTAAAAATCTGCGAATTCTGTCGTATCAGATAAAAATGTGAAGGTTGCAGTTTCAATTTGACTATAATAGAAATCAAATCCTATCTGCTTTCTTCATACTAAACGACATTTGATGAATCGCTATCATTATGGAAATTAACATCGACGTATTACGTTAACGGTGTTCGAATATTTACCGAACGACGGTACGTGGATGAATGGACGAAACGCGTGCGTCACAGCCGGAATATTAAACTAAAGCGGACGGAAGTGAATCAGCGTTACGCCATATGTATTACGCCGCCGATTATGATATAACGCATCGAAGCACGTTTCAATCTTTTCGAATCGATCGGTACACGTTTCTCTCGCCACGCCTTGCGAATCATTTCTTTCAGAATTGTTTCCCATGCATCGACGGAATTCATTTTACGGTAACGAGACCATCGCGGATTGTATTTCTTGCGAATAAAGTGAAAGCAACGTTACCTTGCGTCGTTTTGCTTAGTTGCCAGCCTGGAATCAATGCCCGGTCTGAAAACAAAAACAAATTATTAGCTCGGTAGTTTTCTTTGGCCCAAAAGCATTTCTCAACCGGAAGATAAAGATAGAATTGATAATATTTAAGATACAAGCTAGTATATTTTATTAAAACTAATCTGACATGATTAACTGGATGATCAAATGTTACACGCATCGCAACGTAACGAATATGTCTCTTGTAAATTTTTTTTATCGCTTCGTTATAAGATGATATCTTGCATCATTGAATAGCATTGATAGCAACGTTTAATAGGATCTAATTGAAAATTCAACTTTCTATTGCATTGTGAACGAGGTACAATCGTGTCTCGCGAGATCAATCGAAAGGAACGTTTCTTATTGATGATAGTGTCATTATGTTCGAAGAACACTTTCACCGGACGGAAAAGTGACAATAGGCGATCATAGGAGCGCGAAATCGATCCGACACGGTTATAAATCGTAGTCGTAATGGTCGTCAAATTCCTGTTTTGCATTTAAAGAAACCGGCGATCGCAGTCAGCAACGCGGCGGATCGGTAAATAATAGTTAGGCTCGTGGCTCGCCATGTGAAACGGCAATTGCCTTTTTGCTACGGTTGCTTCACTTTCACGAGCCGCGTTATCACAAGCATGAACAATAAACGAACAACACTTGACATACGAAAATAAAAAATTGCCGTTCACAACTTGTCCATATTTAATTTCTCAAATATAATTTTAATGCGAATTTTGTATATACCTTGGATCGAACGTTAAACTCATAGCAAAGTAATAACAAATATGTCTTAGAATGAAGTTATAGATATATGGTATACAAAAACCAATCCTTTATTTAACACTTCCTCAGGAAGTTTATATAAAAGATATCTTAACTTATAAAGGAAGTTTACTCCTATGGAATCATGCTTCGGAGAAAGTATTGAATAGACATAAACACATCTCCATGCCGTATTCTAAATAAGCGATAACGGCTATGGGAGATGGACCTCTTGAGCATGAGGAATAGGGGCTGTTCCGTTCAGTGTGAATTCGACAGCTTAAGAGTGAACATATTAAACCTTATAACATTCTTTGCACTAAAGTTATTATACCTATTTCCCATTAAAACCAACAGAAGTATTTTGAAAAATTGAGTTTACTGTTTCTAAACGGCATTGACTAGGAGTTACTAAAGGAAAAGCGACGCGATGTACGCAGTTCATGAACTGACGGAGTCGAGCGTCGTGCATATGCGTTATTACGGAAGTTCACGGATCAAAGTTCGATCGACTGAGTTTCGCGAGTATATCGGTCATGAATGTTTATGCCGTGCAACTGCGAATTGACCTCGTTGGTGAGGTCTCTAAGGAAACGATTGATTTTCCCAAATGATTGATCAGTTTCGATATTACCAAGTTTCTTTGTACTAATCAGTTATCTTGTTATCGTCAATTATCGTTCTGAGAATTTAACGTTTGATTTATATCGCTGTTGCATTGAGCTACACGTTTGACGTGTCGCGATCCGTCAAAAAAGAAGCTTCTTTGTGTTTGAAAACAAATGTGAACTGACGACGCCGTGAGTCAGTCTACCCGAACGGGCTGATTCGATTTTTAAACCGCTCTCCGATTGCAACCGTGACGCGGTGGGGGTTGAGGAAACCGCGAAAGAGCCGAGTGCATTGGGACGCGATCGCACCCAACGGAAATCAAAAATAGCTCCGGCGCACGGTGCAGTTCAGTAATAAAAATTCTCGGAAGAGTCGTCGACTGTCACCAATTACGGAGTTGTAGCGGGTCGCGAACCAAAATATTGAAACTAATTGTCGGGATCGTGTTACTCGCGATATAAAACCGAATGGAGTGAGCGTTAGAGTATCAGTGTTTTGAATTAAATTAATAATACCAAATAACTATTCCTGTTTTGAATGCTTTGGTAATGGGTGTGGTATCACGTATCAAAAGTGCATGATTAAAAATATGAGACCCAATTAAAATATTGAAATTATTATTAGACAATGTTCCTCTCATGTCGACAGGGCGAGAATGTTATATTTTTATTAATATATAAATTGTGTTATGTGGTTTCACATATTTCTGTTAGAGACTCTCTATGTATCTATCTATATATCACGTCGCCCGGAAGAGGCGTAAAATGTTTATGAATTTTACGCGCAATAAAATCTCATCAATCTCTCAGGAGATCGTCGCAGCACGTGTTAACGCAAGATCACATTAAAGCTATTATTTTTAAGTTTTATTAGAAGATCGTTGCCAGGAGACGATCCGTGAAAGATCGTACGAGGTACGACGTCGTCGCAGAAGCCAGAATTTGAATATGAAAAGACAGAGAAAGTTGCTTCGACGCCGGCTGTTCGCCATTGTTTCCATTGTCGCTCTGAGTCGACACAATCGGACGGCAACAAAACGATCGCACAATGGACTCCGGAGTCCGGCCACGACTTCCAAGTGAAATTCCATCCTCCATGCTCGGTCAGGAAAAAAAAATGATCTACACGATAACGCGAGTTCCTCTACCTCACTGACTCTGTATCATCGAACCGATTCGATGATCCTTATGATACTTTGGAAGTAAGAAATTGTGTTCACAGACCGCTGATCTCTCTCTTCGTCTCATAATTATTTATAGCGTTAATCATTATGTTCGTACTTGTTTTCGTGCGAATTAGAATTTTTTCTCGACAGTAGAATAATAGGATATTTATAGAACGCGTTGCAAAATATCCAGAATGAAATGTCAAACGCATTGGGTCACAAAAGCTTCCCAGAAGCTAAGTTTCTCTGTCACGTTCCATGCGTCATCGTTCACAGGAATAACATTGTTTACCCAAAACGGAGCGACAAACCGCGGAGTAAACTTTCCTCACTGTGAAAATCGAAAAAAAATCATCTCCAATCCTCGGAGGGTCGTATCAGCGAGCACGGGATTCAGGGAGAGGACAATCGCGTTGATTCGCTCCATAAAAGCGAGAAAACTGCAGCGATCGAGTAATTCTCGTCCCTATCGCGACCATCGCTTATTCTCCCGTTTCTTATGGAAATCACCCTCGAAAGTTTTCAAGACAATCGACTGTTCGATTGCGCGCCTAATTTCGAATAATAGCGCGAAACGATTCGAAAGTTTCGAGCTGATTGCGCGGCGGCGAGAAGGAGGGGAGAGGATATCCCGGAGCGATTCTTCGAAAGGGGTGAAACCGAGCGGCGTTCGTAGAAAGGGACAGAAGAAACCGAGAGGGGTGTGGTATTGATCGCACGACCGAAAACATTCCCTCTCGACGACCGACTTTTTTCCACGAGACGGGACAAGGAAAACGGCTCGGCCGTAGCACACGATTTTTGCATGCGCGCCACGAAAAATCGACGAAAAAAAAAAGAGCTCCCGCGGTTGTTAACCCGTTAAGGGATGCTCCGTTATCCGCTTGGCTGGATACACGCCGGTATAATTGCGGCAACGAGTTAACAATTATACGTGTCCAGGATACGTTACGTTCTTATCGTCGGGGACAGTTTGTTTTGCGATTTTCTTTCTGCCCTTCCTTTCTCTCGTGATACCCGTCGGAATTACGATTTCTTTGGCGGGGCATAAACCCGTGTGGAGCTAAAAATGGTAGGATTATTTCGTTTAATCTCATTGTCGCCGTTTCATTGTCGTTTCTGTATTGTCTCTGTCCAGAGTATAGTAAATGTATACCATCCCTGTTATTAAGAGCGGATATTTCTTATATCAATGAAGCTCATAAAATTCTTTTAAACCTTGTCATACATTAAAATTGTATAATAGAGTGGCATATGATAATACATAATAAAATACTATTGTATAATAAGTCAGTCAACCGTAAAACTTCTAACAGAGTTATCCTGCAGCTACGATTATCTTCCTGAAGCTTTGTCGGACATGAGAAGATTTTTCGGAAGAGCGAGCTGAATTTTGCATAGGATATGTGAAAAGTTGTACGGGACGTGGCACACGCACCCTTGACTCGATTAAATCGCCCCTAAACTTGTGCGCCCTGTTTAAACTCGGGGTCGCCGTGGATTTATGATACGTCAATCTCTATTAAAGGGCGGATGCGAAACAGGGAAGGAGTAGGAGTTTCCCTTCCCGACGGGTAATTGCATCAAGCGCGGAGCCAGTAGGGTATAAAAGTCTTTAATCTCCACAATGGAGATAAAATTGTGTTTGTGCTTCGTGTCCAATCCAATTCGCAGAGCGAATTTCGATAAGGCACTAATGCAAACATCACTCTATATAAATAAGGAAATATTACTAACTCGACGATTTAAAAGATTACTAATAGCGTAATTCTAGATTTTCTTATTTGGAAGCGTCTTCGATTTCTGCCACGTCATTGCGCTTAATCGAAAACGGTTTATCGGAGATAATAAACCTGCGCACCCTCTTAGATCATTAAGTACCGCACGAACCCACGCAATCTACCACAAGACGATCGCATTTAACCGGGAGAGGGAAACACGGGGAGGGGTTGAATCCTTTCAAGGGCACATCAGTGACGTAGAGGATGAGAAGAGGGTGGCGTGCTATTTTGACGGGCACCCCTGGAGATTCGATCGAGGTGCGAACTGAACAGAACACGTACAAGTAGTATCGCATCGCCGTTTTCAAATTACCACGCGAGGTCGTCGAACCTTGGGCGTGACTTCGCGGGGGGGCCAACTTTGAACTACTACCTGTAGGAAGTTGTACATCGTGGCCACAGCGATTGATCGACCACCGCTTCCACGGGGGTGGAACGAGTGTCCCGTATCTCCTGGATTTATCTATCGTCGGACTCCTGAACTGTCCCAGCCCCGAACTTCACCCCAGGACGTGTGATCCCTGCGATAGCGTCGATCGCTTCGAGATTCGATTACAATTTGTGACCTTAAATGACCACAGAAGTCGTAATCGTTTTCTGATTTAAAACAAGAATTAGGGACGGATGAAAATGTTACTCGTTAAGTGTACGATAAAAATCGTACGCCACGTATAGAAGAGTTGGTTAATGGACAA